CCACATCCGCAGAGAGACAGAGAAGAAGCAGGCAGGGGGCAGAAGAAGAAGGAGAATGGGGTGTCTTGGACACGGCATGCAAGGAAGAGAGTATCTCGGGGAGGAAAGAGTCGTCAAAAGTTGGAATCAAGCTGACAGGTGAGATGACAGCAGAGGGCGTGAGTTAAGTTCAGCCCGTGACAAGGACACGGGGGTAGCGTGGTCTTTGAGCCCCACGAAGTGCCCTCTGGAAGCACTCTCCACCCTGAGCACGCTCCTAGAGGCTTGAAGAGGAGAACTTGGGTGCAGCCCCCAGCAGAAGCTGCCAGGACTGATGGAGAGAAGCAGACGAGCCTGGACATCACTTTTACCCTTAAACTTCATCTCTCCCCCCACCCCACCGCCTCTGCCCACCCCCAGGCCTTCTAACAACCTGCGCCTCTCTGGCCTCTCCCTCCCTCCACTCCCACTCGGCTTCTCATTATTTTCTTAGGAAAGGGCTAATAACCTCACTTCCTTGCTCAGAATTCTTCCAGGAATCCCTACTGACTATGTTTTAAAGTTAAAATTCCTTAACCAGGCACACTGATCTTTCACGGTCTAACCCTGACCTTCTTCTCTGGTCTCACATCCTCGACGTTAGCCCCCAGCAACATCTGCCTGCGATCACAGGAAAGACCCCCATGAGCACCGCTCACCTGGGACCAGTCAACCCACAGCACCGTGAGAGATAAGAAAATATTGCTGTTTTACGGCACCAGGTTTTCGGGCAGTGTGCTACACAGCGACAGATAACCAGAATGGAAATTGGTACCAGGAACGGCGTGTTGACATTTAAAAACGTAAACCGTACGGCACTGGCTTAAAAGAGTTTTAGGAAGATCGTTGTCGGGCCTGTAAAAGCAGCGAGGAAATTGCTATCGGAAGCTGGAGGAAAAAAAATCCGTGTGATGTAGTGGTGGGAAGTTTAGCAAAGCGGTCACCTGCTCAACTGTGACAAGTGTGGAAATGTGGAAAATAAAACCAGCCATAGCTAATGGATAGCGATTTGGCCAAGAAAGTTTTGGGCAGAAGGTTGAAAGTGTCAACTGATTTCTTTCAGCAGATAAGGGACAGATAAAGAGAAATGAACTAGAAGAAGAATTTTTCAGTTTTCAAATATAATTTAGAGAATATATAAAGAAGCCAGGACTTTCTGGGTTCAAAATTAAACTGCTTCACACTCCCAGCCTTTCCAGAAGGCAAGTTGTTCTCAAAGTAAGACGGCCTTAGGGTAAAAGTTCCTCTCGGGCTTCCCTGGTGGCCCAGTGGTTAGGAATCCACCTGCCAATGCAGGGGACACGGGTTCGAGCCCTGGTCTGGGAAGATCCCACATGCCGCGGAGCAACTAAACCCGTGCGCCACAACTACTGAGCCTGCGCTCTAGAGCCCATGAGCCACGACTACTGAGCCCGTGAGCCACAACTACTGAAGCCCATGTGCCTAGAGCCCACGCTCTGCAACAAAAGCCACCACAATGAGAAGCCCACGCACCGCAACGAAGAGTAGCCCCCGCTCGCTGCAACTAGAGAAAGGCTGCACGCAGCAACGAAGACCCAACGCGGCCATAAATAAATAAATTAAAAAAAAAAAGGGTCCTCTCAAGGATGTGGTTCTCTTTTACGATTTCAGGAATATTTAATGGCATGTCTCCGAGACCTCTCAGCTGGTCAAAGGACTTCTAAGGCTCTTAAGGGTGTTACCCTACAGCATCCTAAATCTAATCCCAAGCCAGACAGGGACCCATCTCAAAATATTTGTGAGTCTGACTTTTATAAACTCCTCCTGACTCCGGGGAAACCCATACCATGTTTATAAGGTTTGAATTGATGGCGGCGTCATCAGTTTGAACTTAAAGGGGCGGAGGTGGTTCAAAAACGAAAAGAAGCTTCTGGGCTTCCAAGCTGATGTGGGCAGGAAGCAGGCTGACGAAGCCATTCAGCAGCAAACAAGAGCCCTTTCTTGCAGCAGAGGAAGGATGCTTCAGAGGCCGGCCAATAACTGTGGAGAATAGGCCCCCGAGGGCAGGGCTGTGACCTGGAGTAGCTGGGTCCTGCCCAGCTGAGAAATCCAGGGCTCTTGCTTTCTCTTTAGTGTTGCCCGGATAGGAACGGGGTGGGAGGCCGTGGGCAACAAACTTGATGAGGGGTGCTATGCCTTAGCTCTTAACTCTTCCCACATTCCTTCAAATGTCCCGCCTGCCCTGCAGCACCGTTCTGCTGGGCTGTCCCATGTCCTCAGCGCTCACCCCGTGGGCCCTGGAATGGCACCCGTCACACTGGGTACGCCGCGTGTGTCTGTTGGTCTGTCTCCCCAACACGATGACTAGCTTTGTGAAGACAGGCTTGCTCGCAGCGTCATTTCTGCAACTGGTGGTGGGAATTCCACTGCTGTGTGCTGTCCTGGAGATGCGGTGTGGGTCTGAGAAGCCCTGGGGCTCGTTTCCTGTGTGGACCCAGTGCTTTTCTTAGGGTCCCTTTTTCTCCAGGGTCTGAGGTCCGGGTCTCTTGACAAATGCGAATGTCTCTCCTCCTCTTGCGGAAGCCACCTGAGGAAAGTTGTATTTCTCTGGGTCTCTGCGTACAAGGCTCTGCTTATTCTGGGGACTCGAAGAGTCTGGTCCCAGCCTGCATCTGTCCTCAGCCAATGACCTTCAGGGAACTGTCACACTCCATGGGAAATTTCAGTAGAACCTTCTATACAGCAGCACACACATACCACTGCCTTCAACTGCATGATACTGTCACCAGTTCCCATGCCCACAACGTGCAGGGACCTGGTGAGGCTGCCCCCAAACACATATTCAAACACATCTTCTCTTTTCCCACCTTGAGCATCACAGTCATTACCTTTCTGGGTTGTTATTTTGTTTTCTGAATTTCTGACTGCCCTCTAACATACGCTCTGGAAGGACAGTGTCTTGTCATTTTTGTGTTCCTGGAGCTCAGGCACTCTGGAAACGTTTGTTGAATGAATGAGTTTATAAAGGAAGCAGAGTGATATGGTGAAAAAAAAAAAGCACAGGGTATTTATTCGGGTGATCTGAGGGACAGCTCTGTCATGCACAACCTATGTGACACTGGGCAAATCCGTCTTCTCACTATAAAGTGAGGCTAACATGGCCTGGTCTGTCTCCCAGGGCTATTGTATTGGACAGGTGAGATCTACGAAAGAGTTCTTTCTCAGCAGTGAAGTCTGAATAAATACGCATTATTGTCATGGTGAAAATCTGGAAACCTTCTGTGGGCAGATGGTCAAACAACGTGTGGTCCATCCACAGCGAAGGGCACTACTCGGCAAGGAAAGTGAACCCAGTGTCTACAAACGGCAACTTGGATGGAACTCAAGGGAATTGTGCTGAGTGAAGGAAGTCAATCCCAACCACCCTATGGTCGCATTGACTTAACATGATTGAAATGATAAAACAGAGAGCAGATTCAGAATTTCCAGGGGCTAAGGAGTGAGTGGGGGGCTAGGAAAGGGCAACGTGAAGGATCCTTGTCATGGCAGAAATGCTCTGTATCTTGTGCGCATCAATGCCAATTTTCTGGTGGTGATTTGGACAATCGTTTTTCAAGATGGTATCACTGGGGAAAACTGAGTAATCTCTCTGTATGATTTCCTGCAATGGCATGTGAATTTACAGTCATCTCAAAATTAAAATTCTAAGAAGATGCATTAAAGTTATATGGTTGGATGAGAAGTTTATAAAATAACAACTTATGTCCATTGATTGCTCACGTCATGCCAGTTTATCTTATTCTCATACTGTACCATTGTTGTCCTATTTTACAGATGATAAAACTGGGCACAGGAAATATTAAGGCCACAAAAATAGTATGTCGTATTGCTGGGGTTCAGAGCCCAGAGCCACGACATCACAGTCACCTCAGCTAAGGACAACATGGTGCTCTCAGCATTTGAACCGAACACGGCTTAATCCTCAAACCACCTCTAGGTATATTTAATTGAGTGCAAAGACCAGCAGCAATACGGCTCATTCAAAAGTCATTGTTCAGGATTTCCCTGGGGGATGATGAATGTGTTCTGGGGGTGGGTGGTGGTTATATTTGTACATACCTGAGGATATAGTAAAAACCACACACAGAACTGTATACTTTAAGCAAGTGAATTTCAATGGGATGTGAATTATATATCAATAGAAAAAAATCCCCCTCCCTCCAAAAAAAAGTTCTTGTGGTCTGGAAGTAAGGACTTGGCCTCTAACGGTAATGGCGGTGGTAAGGAAATTCTAAGAACGAATGATCTTATTAAATAAAAGTGGTCCACGGCAAAGACATTAAAGATGCCTGAGGTTCTGAGCCGGGTGACATGAAAAAGGAGGCACAGGAGATCACAGAGATGCGTTGAATTCGAGATGACAGCATCCCATCCTAGGGACAGCTAGTATCTGAGTCAGGGGACCGGTGTTTGGAAGAGAAGTCATAGAGCTTTCGGATCCAGAAGTAGATGAGATATCTCAGGGAGACAGAATCAAGATGGAAGATCATTTATTAGGAGGAGATAGGGAGGAAGGAATTACTTTCTAGCAGAAAAATAGAGCTCAGCGTGTGAAATCGTCCGTCTCTGACAACACACTGAATTCACATTTTTCTTCTCTCCCTCAAAGGGTAAAACCAGATCCAGTGGGAAAAGAATAAGACTCAGAACAGGTAAGAAAAATCATGTTTCCCTGGGGAAACACATCACCCGGTTTCTCCTATGCACCTTTGCTGTTGCATGTTTTTTGTGGTCCTGAAAGGAAACTGAGTACCAAAACAGGCGACTTTGGTGTTAAAAATGAATACAGTGTTCAATTTTTTTTTAAAGTAACGCATTGTAAAACCCAGGTTTTCTCAAGCTTTTCAGTCGAACTTAACAAATCTTATGATTTCACTTAGAAATCTATTTAAATTCAAGTAATTGTTTACAAAAGGACTTTAGAACTTTTGGCTAATTAAATTCCCTTGGACATTTCATAGTGCTTTTATAATGAAAATATGTTTAATTTTCTTTTTAAGTACTTTGGTTGTCTAATGAACAAAACGTTCCCAAATACTTAAACAATGCTTGCAAAATTACTGCGTCGGCCCTTACACATACGGTGAGAATTAAATTCTCTTGAGCGGGGCCGCTGGTTGCCTCTGACCACCACACAGAACATAGCGGCCCAGGAGTGGCCTGTGATGACACACTGTTGGGAGAGGCTGGGCACAAGAAGGCAGCTGTTTCCCTGTAAAAAGCAGAACAGGCCTGGCTGACAGGATGTGGTACCAACCTGCCCGCGGGAAAATCCCAAGTTGTCCACACAGCTGGCCCTGCCTTAGGTAATACCTCCCGTGGGGAAGGTTGCCCTCTACTGGCTTATGTGAGCCCACAGGTGGGAAGGTAGACAGATCAAGGGGGTTCGGTGTTCCAGAAAAGCCTGGCAGATGGCACATATGAGCGGTATTTTACGGCATTTGTTTTTCTCTTTCTGACTTACCTCACTCTGCATGACAGTCTCTAGGTCCAGCCACGTCTCTGCAAATGGCCCAACTTCGTTCCTTTTTATGGCTGAGTAGTCTAGAAAAATGATACAGATGAACTTATTTGCAAAGCAGAAACAGAGACACAGATGTAGAGAACAAATGTATAGATACCAAGGGGGGATGAGGGAATGAGATGAATTGGGAGATCGGGACTGACATATATACACAACTATGTATACAATAGATAACGAATGAGAACCTACGTATAGCACAGGGAACTTCCCCTCCCCTCAATGCTCTGTGTGGTGACCTAAATGGGAAGGAAATCCAGAAAAGAGGGGATATATGTATACGTATAGCTGATTCACTTTGCTGTACGACAGAAACTAACACAACATTGTAAAGTGACTATACTCCAAAAAAAAAAAAAAAAAAAAAAAAAAACCCTGGCAGGAAAGAATCCATAGTGTTTGAGTTTCCACTGTCTCCTGATGAGGCTGTGACGGAGCTGAGCCTCTGCCTTGCATCAGGGCCCCCTGTAAACACAGCACAGCTCCACCATGAACACTCATACCTTTGGGTCAAATCGCCTTCACGTGATACCCACGTCGTGTGCCGGAAACCGAGCCTTGGGGATTGACTCCAAAATGGATTTTCCCTATTCCATGTTCTACTCAGTGGTAAAGAGGAAGGGTCCAGATCCTACAGCCATTTACCACATGCCTAATAGGCACGAGGCAATTGCATTGATGTCTCCTCCTCTGTTCCTCTGAAAAGCCTTGCGAGAGAGTTAACATTGTCACCACTTTGAGGCTGAGGACTCAGCAAAGAAGTTTCCTTCGCAGCAGTTTCTGCATCTGACGCTGACGGGCTCGTTGACGAGCCTCCTGCCTCGCCGCCACTTCTCAGCAACGACTTTTAACCTTGATTCTAATACTGATTATAGCAACCGCAGGAGACCCATACCAAGCAAGTCTGTATCAGGACTAGATGACATCCTTAGAACTTACGGATGTGGCCCGGGCCACAGGGAAGTGTTTGAAATCCGGTCCCTAGGGTCCTTGACTCTTTGGTAGAACAGGTGGGAGGTGAGGACGATGCCACCGCTGTAGACAGATGGTTAAGGCACAATAGCTCCAGCCCTGAGGCCGGCACGGAAGCCTTCTCCCCGCCAGCCTGAGACGAGTACTCTGTCCAACGGGTCACACCTAATCTGTCACTCAAGGGAGCTGGTAAAGCTCAAGCCTGCTTTATTCTGGATGGAGCGTCAGACCAGCGGAGGCCTGTCACAGCCCGGCCGATAGCCCCATCCTGGGCACACCCCCATCGGCCTCCAACACGCCTGTGTTCAGAGCAGGGCACAGAGCCGGGTCCCTGCAGGTTCCCGTTGCCACTGGCTTCCCCGCCGCAGAGGAGGCCCCGTCCAAGTCCACAGCGTCAGGAAACGCAGGCCTTGTGTTTCTCTGGCTGGGGGCTCGGGGGCGGCTGTTTAATAAGGGGATAGACTTGGCCGTTTATAAAACACCCTGAGCGGTGCTGGGGACGGTGCCGTTTGCTGCAGTCGTCATCCGTTCCCCCTGGAGCTCAGCCATGCCGTGTCCCCTCTGGCTTTGGAAATCACTCACTGGGAATTCATTTATTAATAGGAATCTGGGCTTGTGCCTTTAAAAGAAAAAAAAAAAAGTATGGGCTGAGGCACATTTATTTGTTCAGACAGAAACAAGAAAAAGCATCACTGATGGGGAGATGGGAGCCTCCACGGGTCCTCGGAGGAGCGGAACGGTGCGTCTCAATTGTTAACTTGCTTTCAAATCACCTGCGGGTCTGGTTAGAAGGCAGACTCTGACTCAGGGGGGCTGGGGGCCTGAGAGCCTGCATTTCGAACACGCTCCCCCCAGGTGATGCTGACGCTGCCAGCCTCAGACCACACTTCGAGGAGAGAGCGATGGTGGGGTTGGCGGGGGGAGCACCGTCCTCTTCAGGGTCTTCACACGCCATCGCCTCCCACAGGAAGGATGCCCCACCTTGTGGCCCAGAGTAAATGCTCAGTAAATGACACCACGCGGCTCATACATACAGTATAGAACGCAGTTAGGGGCAATGTCAGTCTCAATCTATAAATGAGAGCTGGTTTTGTTTGAGAAGCCTTGACCTTCGGGGTTAACCTATGGTGTTGGGACAATCGTGGGTGACATTTGACCCCTCTCTTTTCCTCCGACGCTTGGACCCATGGCTCCTGTGGGGTGACTTGGGACAGCGTTTCTCTGCCTGTACGTTTGATGAGGGGTGCCCATGGGCTGCACGCAGGGTGCTCCACCTGGCCCCCAGGTATGATGTGTCCCCCCTCTGCTCTAACCCTTGAGGCTCCCAACTGGACCTCCAGGCAGCACGACAGCACCTGTGTTTGGAGCTCAGCATCCTGGGGGATCCAGGGAGGCCATGGTACAGCGTGGCCAGATTCTGCAGCTGGCAACTCCTGCATCCAGTTCACCTGCAGATTCCGGGGCCTCACCTACGACACCTAATTGAGGTTCCTGGAAGTAGGCTGGAGTCTTTCGCACACTGGATTCTGACACTGGCTTTTCTCCCCGGGAAGCCGAGGGAGGCCTCTGTGTGAGCATGAATGGCCAGGAGGTATCTGCCTGTGGGCAGCTCTCCCGTCAGCAAGGAAACCCGCAGCATCGTATGATTTTTTCCCAGAGGCACAAACACCTGCTCTGCAAGCTCTCCGCTGGGCTCCAGCTAAGGAATTGTTTTCCTCCCCTGGGCATGATGACGTGAGCTCTTTCTCCTTGGAACACCATACCCATTTCATCAGCAAACCCTTTCCTGAAGCTTTAAGATGAGGTGAGAAATGATGGTCCTAGCTTAAACACGCGACACAGATAGAGAATATGACGTATCTGTATAAACAGCACCCGAATGAGCAACAAAGTGGAGAGCATAGTGCTGACAAGAAAACCCCAGCTTCCCCGGCTGGAGGGGATGGATACACAAATGCTGGGAGAAGCGGCTTGCCCTGCCCAGGAGCGGTGCGTGACCTCACTGGAGAGGAACATCGCATCGGGAAAGAAAGGTACCAGGTGGTCCAGGCCAGATCTTCTCACTGTGAGAGACTGGGTGCTCTGACCAACACTTAAGATGCTTTCCATGCTCCCATGAAATCAATGCCTTTTTTCCCCCTGCTGAATGAATGTGGGGATTGCGCCAGAATCAGAAAGATTTCTGCGGATTTCTCCTAGAATTTCCAGGGTCTGTAAATCCTGCGCTGGCTGGGAGCCTACTTCGATTATTTTTAATGCAGAAAAGGATGTATTTGAGCATCTGGCCTAGAAATGGACTAAATCTGTCCATAGCCTAATTGGTTTGGAAAGAGCTGGAAGACAAATTGAGATTGTGGGTGTAAACAGAAGAAAAGGTGGCAGAAGGGGAGCCAGATGGATGAGCTCAGACACAAAACACACACAAACAAAAGCTGCTTGGGACACCAGAGGAGCACGTGTGCATCTGGGGCCCAGAACCGGACTGGTATGAGGGTCCTCCTTGGCTTGGAAGCGTCTAGACGCAACGTCTGGCTCCAAGGACGTTCCCTGCATCTGAAGAGTGGGAATCAAACCCAGCTTCCACAGGGGGTGATCCCTGGCCACACTGTGACAGGTGGCCCTCAATCGACCTGGGTAGTGAATTCAGAACACAAATCACAGAAACATCACTCGGTTCCTCAGAGAATTCAGGCTCGAGGCTGAGGCAGGGGCATGATGGGAGCCAGAGATTTGGAGAAGATGGCTTCTTGGTTACTATATATAATCGTGTCTGTGTGTGTAGCGTTCCAGGGCAGCCCAAGTGTATTTTGTTTGCAGCCCCGTCAGCATGGTGCAGAGCATCCTGCGTGTGGGGGGACCATCAATGCTCGTTTGATGACAGTGATGCAGGTGTCTGGTGGTAGAGATCTCCTTATTTCATAACGCCTTACTGCAGCAAGGCGGGGTGAGGGGCAGGCATCGGTAGTTAAACACATCTACTTCTGAACCGTACCGCGTGCTCGTGAGTCAGCAGCGACCGTGAGAAGCTGTTGTCCTAAAGGCATCACTTCTATCTCCACCCAGCAGATACTTATGATGTGAAAGTAATAAATTTTTCATTGGTTTATGAACACTGAAACCATTTTCTGAGAGTACATAAAAGAACCTGGGAGGGACAGGCGCGGCGAGAGACGACTCCAAGCCAGGCGCCTTTAACAGCCCAACAATGAATAGTCATGCTGCCCTTTTCAGAGCTGCGACGTGTGACCCACCCCATTAGGCCTCCGAGAGGCTCATCCTGAAGGCCCACCGTTCGTGCCATCCCTTTCATGTTTGTCATGACAAAGCTGTGTTTTCTGCGCCCGCTTTCCTTTGCAGTTTGCACCCTGTGCAGTCAAATTCCATGCTTCCAAAATGAAAAATACAACTGCCAGTTTTCATCTCTGGGGGAAATGAGTCTTATTTCTCCCATAAATCACGAGCACGCTTCAGCTGTGAACAGAGCATTAGCAACTCTACAAGTAAATTAACTTCAGTTCCTGGTGAGACCCGAGGTTGCTGAGGGTGATTGGGGAATTTTGATTTAGGGAAGGGGAGGCAGGTGGCTTCACAGTGGATGTGAGGTGCAACCATTTCCAGTTGAAGGCAGGACGTTCACGCCTCTGCCGCTTTGACTAGGGGTGGCCCATGTGCGTGCCTGATGTCACAGGGTAATTATCAAGGGCACCGCTCTCACTCTACAAGTGTCCCGTTTAGGTTGATATTATCAGTCTAATTAAATTGCAGATGAAATAAGGAGAAAGAGCTTGTTTTGTGACAGAAGCCAGGCAGACACAAAAGGCCACATATTATGTGATTCCAATAACACGAGTTATCCCTAACAGGCAAATCACAGAGAGAGAAAGGAGGTGTGTGGTTGCCAGGGCTTGGCATGCTGGGGGGAAGTGGGGGGTGACAGCTAATGGGGGCGACAGGCTTCTTTCTGGAGGGAGGAAAAGGTTCTAAAGTTGATTGTGGTGATGGTTACAAGACTCTGAATATACTAAAACCACTGAATCATACACTTTAAATGGGTGAATTATAGCACATATGAATTCATATATTATATATTGTATAATGTATAAATGTATGAATTGTATGTATAATTCATATATTATACAATTCATGTAATATATAAACATATGAATTGTATATATTCATACACAGGAATATATGAATATATTGTATAATATATGTATAATTATATGTATAATATATTGTATAATATATGAATTCAAGCTGCTATATTGAAACAAAAGCTTAAAAAGAGTTAAACCGGGGTGGAGGGAGGAATAAATTAGGAGATTGGGGTTAACATATACACACTACTATATATAAAATAGATAACATATACACACTACTATATATAAAATAGATAATCAACAAGGACCTACTGTATAGCACGGGGAACTCTACTCAATATTCTGTAATAACCTACATGGGAAAAGAATCTAAAAAAGAGTGGATATATGTATATGTATAACTGATCCACTTTGCTGTACACCTGAAACTAACACAACATTGTAAATCAACCCTAATAAAATATTTTTTAAGAAGAGTTAAACCGCAGAAATACCGGAAGAGAAAGACAGAAAAAATCTTGGGCCCTGTGTTTCTGCCGGCGAGAAACACTCTGTACTTGAAAGGCTGGTCCCTCTGAGGAGAGGCTGTCTTCACTTTGAGGGCATGTGGTAACCCCTGCTGGCCTCTGGGGGGCCCCATGCCACAACGCCTGCGTTTTTCTGAGACTTGCTGGTGCAAGAAAGGGAGTGTGAGTTTCCCCACGGTCACCGCTGAGAGTCAAGGTGTGTGCATTTGCCTTTAGAAGATGGAGGGATTGGTGGCGGACCAGCAACCTAAAGGTGGGGATGAGCGGGTGCACAGAGCCCAGCGGCAGCGGGTGGCTGCAGGGAAGGTGACAGGAGATCCTGATTGGGACCTGCCCGTCTTTGCTCACGCCCATGGCCAGTGGGCTCCCATTTAGGGAGGGGAAGGGAGGAGTTCCAGGGCGGCGGGGGTGGGGGAGGTAGTTTTGGGGGATAGGAGTTTGTCCCCCCGGGGGAATTAAGCCCATTATTCTACATGTAGCACAGAGTCAGAGTGGGGACAGATCTGCCCAGTTAGGTTGGGAAACTGTAGGACGCACAGGACAACCACGAAGGCTCCACTTGACGAGAGGGCCCTCAGGCCACATCCTCTGAAAGAGATAATGGGACCTGGAATGCACCCCAGGCCCCATCCAGCCACCAGCACTGGGATCCTCATTCAAGGGAACGGAGCTGAACTTGAAACTTGTGAGAACACTGAAAATTTACCTTGTGATGAAGACAGAAAATTTATCTTTACATTTTTATATCCTCACCCCCTCGGACAGGGTCTGGCACTCAGCAGTGGCTGTTTGGACGGATGGATAGATGGCTGGATGGGTGAACAGCACACACCGGGCTCAGATGAGCAGAAAAGGCTACCAGGGCTGCACGGTGCCCCAGCTGAAGGCCAGGGTATTACATGTGGGTCACCAACAGAGGGCGCTGTACGCCTGAAAGAGCAAGGCCAGGCCCGGGGCCAGAAGCCTGCTGGGCGCAGGGGTGGTGGAGCTCTGGCTCCCTGCAGACCAAAGGTGGAGACGGGGCGCTCAAACGTGGGAGCTGGGGCAGGCACTGAACCCCAGTATCCACACACTTGGGGCGGGGAGGAGACAGACGCGTTCTCCTGCCTGGGCACTTCCTCAGCATTGGGAAAGGAAGCCAACCGCCTGGGCCCAGAGCAGGATCCACGGCGGGTTTGTTCACCTGTGCGCCCCCCAGCACCCTGAACGAGGGCCGGCACACGGAAGGCACACAGTCACTGTTTCTCAAGTGGAATGAATTAATGAAGGCGCCTAGGAGGACGAGACCGCAGCTGGACCGTACTATTCTTAGACTGTATCTGAGTGTAGTGGGCTGGCCAAAAAGTTCCTTCGGGTGTTTCCGTAAAACCTTGTGTGTCTTGGGAACCAGAGTTACACATCAACCCCCATAAACCACTGGGTGGGGTCTGTACCTGGGCTGGTCTCTCCACTGGATGGAGCTTGACAAGACCAAGGGGGGCCCAGCGTCATAAGAAGGACCGTTTCTGGGCGATCAATCCCTACTCACCCGCCCTCCCCGCTCCCCGAACCACATCCACAGACACAGGGCAGACAAAGCAAAGGAGGAAGGGCAGGGAACGTAGCGCAAAGCCCTCCCGTGAGGGCTGGCACGTGAGGCCACAACATCTTCACGTGAGCGATCCCAATTCCTCCGACATCCTGAGAGTCTGGGATGGTGGGACCACTGGGGATCCAGGAGTGAATGAAACGGAGCTGCGCAGATGTGCTGCGGAGCCCTCATCACGGCGTTCCCTGCTCTTGCACGCCCCTGGGTCTATTTCCTTCTGCAACGCAAGTCCTTGGCTTTACCGTGGTCAAGGAAAGGGGGCACTGAGCCGCGAGGGGGCCGCCTGGGAACTCGCCTCCCGGGCCGAGGGCGAAGCCCGCACCGGCCTCAGGCCCGCGCTGCAGGCGGCAGCCTCACCCGCTGGAGGGCGGCTCGAGGACAGATGTGAAACCAAACCACGAGAGTGGTGCCTCCCAGGGAGCAGGAGATTGTGCCGAAGGCGCTGGCTGCTGCAGACGCCAGTGGAAGAGGAAGAGGACCTGAAAGCGTTCTTTTTTCTCTTGTGGGTTTGGAGCGCTCTGTAAGCTGGAGCTGCTGAAAGCACTCGCGGGCTCGCTGTTTCTGGTTTTAAATTCTCCTGGGACGAGCTCCACAGAATCTCAGGGCTTTAGCACCGACAGGAAAAAGAGTAAGAACTTCAAAGTCTCCCTTCATTTAGTGAGAAGAAACTGTGGTGGCGAGTGACTGGCTCCTACCTCCACACACACACACACATAGTCCCTCACACACACACGTCAGTCTCACACACATGCACACACAGTCTCACACACACACGCACATTCAGTCTCACACACACGCACACATTCAGTCTGACACACGCACTTTCAGTCTCACATACACATGCACACACACGCACACACACATTCAGTCTCACACACACGCACGCCCGCACACAGACACACAGACACAGGAGAAAAAGAGCAGTAAGGACGAACCTGCCCATCCCTCTGGCATCTCGCTGTGGCTGCTCAGCTCAGAGGACCAGCTTGTCCCCTGGTGGGTGTCCCCACGGAGCCCCAACCATGCGGTGCCTCCCACCCCTCGAGAACCTGGAAACTGTGCTTAGAGCGAAACTAGAAAAATCCACACGGAAAAGATGGGATTAGCCCTCTGTGGGACTTGCCGGTAGACATGTGACCAAAGAAACTGGAATCACTCAACACTCAAGGCGGGTCAACGAGGAAAACGGGCCTGTGCGACGTGGACGCAGCGGCTCCATCAGGGCCCGTTCGGAGAAGGGCCGGGAGAACCCCCGGGTGACTCCGGAGCCTAGAGCTCCAGAAGAGAGGGAAGCAGCGAAGACACACCGACCTGCGCCCCACCTCTCCGCACCCCCCAGCAGGGTCGAGGGGCCTGGCCGGACCCCCAGAAGCTGCCCAGAGTGCGGCGGGAGGAGGGGTCCACCCCAGTGCCGAGCGGGGGCCTTTCTGAAGCTGGACCACGGCCAGCGTCCATCTCCTGCTCAGGGCTCTGCCACAAGGGACAGCACACTGGACAGAGGTGGCCTCCCCTTCTCGGTTGCATTTCTCCCTGGAAATAGGGAACCCCTTGCCCTGGGGATGGAGCGGGTGCAGTGTAGCTAGTGAGTCAGGCCTCATGATGAGGGGCAGTAGAACCTTCTGTCAGTTTCTAGGGATGCTTTACTAATGACCACAAACTGGCAGCTTAGAACGACAGAGACTCCCCTCTCTCCACCACGAATTCTGGAGGCCGAAAGTCCAAACTCAAGGTGTTGGCCAGACCGTGCAGCCGCTGGAGGCTCCAGAGGAGGACCCTTGCCTTCCTCTCCCAGCTGCCCTGGCTTGGGCCGACCACTCCAGCCTCTGCTTCATCTTCTCGCGCCTTTTCTCCCCCGTGTGTCCATGTCCCAGACCTCCCTCTGCTCTTATAAGGACACCTGTCATGGGACTTCGGACCCACTCTAAATCCAAAGTGATTTCATCTCTAGATCTTAAGCTTAAATACATCTGCAAAGGCATTTTTCCCAGGTTAAGTCTACAGTCACAGGTTCTGGGAGTTGGGACTTGGGCGTACGTTTTGGGGGCCTCAGTTCCACAGAGGCACATCAGGGTCCCGGGCCTGCCATGTGATGCCAGCATCTGGAGGGGGCACACCTGGAGGAGCGCCAACCCATGGGACTGCCTTCGCCAAGGGTGCCCCTCCCTGTCACATCTGGCTCTTATTTTAAACCGATTTTGCTGACCAGTTCGGTTCCATCTTTGGATCTAGAAAAGCACGTGTCTAGGGCATCTGCTCGGACTACATGCTCAGCCCTGAGGGTCACACCACCTAAGAGATGGAACCTACTTTAACCAACAGTGTGAGGAATTTCTCCTCCGCGGCTCACATCTCAGCCACCCCCGAGGAAGGAGCTCCTGGAGAGGGCTGGGTGCGCTCAGATGTGCAGTCAACGAGAGGCCAGGGTGAACGCGTTCGTGAGAACCACAATTTCCTCACCTTTTCCCCTAAGGGGAGCATAAACAGGGATCGTCCTGACTCTGCCAATCCTGGGTCTCCCTTCTGCTTTGGCCTTCAGCCCTGATGGTGGCGGCCAGCTCCCCAAGGGGTGGCGGCTTCTGCCTCAACAGGACCGGCCTCGGGGCAGCTGCCGGGCCCAGGGAGCAGCTCTGCCAGCGCCCGGCAGGCCAGGAGCAGATGCTGAAAGTCCACAGCCACCCAGAGGCAGGGGTTAAGACCCCAGAGTCGAGAATCAGGGTTTGGGTCCTAGCTGTTCTGCTGCCCAGGTACACGATCATGGGCACATTCCTCAACCTCCCGACCTTCACCTGAAAAATGAAGATTGTAAATTTTCCAGGTAAGCTACTTAACGTTATGTGTGCCTGGCTCCCAGGGTGTGTTCAAAACATGCTTGTTGTTCTGGTTACGATTATAAAGAGAGAGGAAATTCACCGATCACACCCCTTTATCTGGCCTCTCAAAGCTCAGTGCTAATGGACTGGAAACTGAACTGTGAACCACTCACTTCCAACCCAGGAATTCTTCCACTTTCTCACCTATTTGCCATTAGAGATTTTTTTTCTTTCTTTTCAAGCACCCAGAGACACTGAGAGTTTCTCCTGACGGTCTGATTTAGGTAAATTGCAAGGTTGGTTTTCTAGTTCTAAGAAGCCAAGAGGAAGGAAGCTATTAGAAAATTCTCTGCCTTCTCTCCTAACCGCCGTCCTGGCTATCGGGAAGGATTTCTGTCTACCGCCTTCTCAATCCGCAGCTCCCTCTCTGCGTCCTCTGAATGGGAACTAATTTCTTTCCAACAGGGTGGCCTGTGAAACTTCTGGCAGAAGCCCTGGCAGATAAAGCTCCACTCCTGAGGCCGTGGAAGAAAAGACCAAATGCCTCTCACAAGTAGGGTCCCGGCGACCTCAAGAGACGGCCCAGCACACCACCTTCACTCCTGTCCTTGTTCCACAGTTAGGTTGCAACCTGCCTCTCCTCACCTCCCCCAGCCCCGCCTGAACGGACCTGGTCCACCTACCCGCAACTGACCCCCACTCACCGCCCCCCCCCCCCGGTCACGCTGCTTTTCTTTCTTTCCCTCAAATGCCCCAAGGATTCCACCCCAGGGCCTTTGAACTTGCTGTGCCTGCCGGCAGATGCACTCTCCCCGGGATCTGTGCAAGGCTGGCTCCCTTTCATCCCTCAGGTCTGTCCTCAGAAGTCACCTCCTCAGAGGTTATGCCACCACACTTCATTTGCAAGTCAAGCAGCCTGTTTTCTTGTCTTCACAACGCCTCTCTGTACTTTGAATTGTCTTATTTATGTGTTTACAAGTTTCTTGTCTGTATTCTCCGAGGAGGACAAAGCTGTTGAGTGGTACACACTGTAAAGTTCCCGAGCGCAGAGGATGACGCGCTGGGAGGAGAGAGGATGCGGGGGGGGGGGGGACCTCATGGACATGGTGGCTACCAACGGCGCTGCTGTTTGGGTAGCTGAAGGATGGGAACGGCATTGCGGGTGAGGCACCAGCACACGCGACGGCTCCGAGGGCGGCACGAAGGTGAAGCTTTGGGGCCCAGAAGTCCACACTGGGGTTTCGCAGAGAGACGTTACTACTGTTACTCTATAGCAACGTCAAGGGCAGCCGCGGGCAAGGTGGAGGGGAGCGCAGGAGACGGCAGGCGTGGAGACCCTGGGCTCCCAGCCTGTGCTGGAGCAGGAAATGAGTCACCAGAGGCTCCTCGAAGGAGAGCCCACAGTCAAGCTACAAGCCCTGACTTCCACATAGAGGGGGGCATGATTAAGTGCTGAGTGGGCGGGCAGGTGAGTCAATCAGAAAGGGTGGGAAAGGCGAGCTCTGGCAGAACTGGTCCCGCCTTGGCGACAGCGAGCATCTGTGTGTCTGCCTGGAGTCAAGGTTGCTGCCGCTCAGGAGCAGATCTTCCGCGGTTTCCTCTCTTTATGGGATTAAGCTGAACTGTTCACTCCCTCACCTGTGCTTTAAGGAAACCTCGAGGGTTATTCGGCTAATCTTTCCAAAGGTCTGTGTAGACCCTCTGTACAGAATGCACCAAAGGTGACTGGAATTGTGATACTGTATCTTGAATTTATGTGGTTATTTTGAAAGCCTGGAGAGCCTTATTGATGAGGGAGTGGATTTTCTCATAGTATAATTCAACTTTCATTTCTTTGCCTCCAGAGACTATATATAAAGTGAACTCTGAACTCAATATCTTAATCGGGATCATTTATTCAATTACTGGGTTGTAAATCTTTTTATTATTCAGTTGTACAAGTTCTTGATATGTTCTAAATACAAATCCTTTGTCAGGTATCTATCTGTGTATCTACCTATAGATGTCTCTATCTATCTACCTATCTATCATCTATCTATCTATCTACCTATCTATCATCTATCTATTTACCTACCTATTATCTATCTACCATATCTATGATCTATCTATAGATATCCCTATCTACCTATGTATCACAATTTTTTCCCCAATCTATGGCTTACCTATTAATTTTCTCACAGTGGCTTTTGATGGGCAGGACATTTGAATTTTATGAAGTCAATGCTTCATAAAAGAAAACACTGGTTAGTGTTCTCTGTGTCTCATCTGAGTAGATTTTGCCTATTCTAAGCTTGCAAAGATATTCTCCTATGCATACTTCTAAAACCTTTATAGTTTTGGCTTTTACATTCAGGTTTCATAATTAGTTTGGGGTATGGTGTGAAGTAAGGTCAAGATTTATTTTTTTTCTATATGGACATCCAGCTGTTCTAGCACCATGTACGGAAGAGACTTTACCCCATGGAATTGCTTTGGCAGCTATATTGAATACAAGCTAACCATATACCATTGAGGGTCTATTAATCCCACTGATGTCTAGGTATATCCTTACGCCAATACCATACTTTCTTGATGAATGCACCTTTATAGTAACACTTGACATTTTGTTCAGAATTGTTACTACTTGACGGTTTATAGTTAATTTATAGTAACTTTTGAATCTCATTCAAAATTGTTCGGCTATTCTAAGTTCCCTGTTCTCTATAAATTTTATTTTTTTTAAGATTTTTTTTTTTGATGTGGACCATTTTTAAAGTCTTTATAGAATTTGTTACAGTATTGCCTCTGTTCTATGCCTTGGTTTTTTGGCCATGAAGCATGTGGGATCTTAGCTCCCGGACCAGGGGTCAAACCCACACCCCCTGCACTGGAAGGCAAAGTCCCAACCAATGGACCTCCAGGGAAGTCCCCTTTATTTATAAATTTTAGAATCAGCTTGTAAATTTCTACAATAAAAGCCTTCTTGGATGTGAATGGGATTTTGCATTGAATCTGTAGAACAATATGGGGAGAAATGACATCATAACAATATCGCCTTCCAACCTGTGGACAACCTACTTATTTGGATCTTCTTTAATTTCTCTCAGAAGAGAGGTTGGAAGGTGGTCGGAGGCTGGAAGAAGGGGCATCCCTGGGTCTGTTCCGTCCAAACACCACTGAAGCAAGAGCAGATCTGTGGGTCCGCCGGGTGCACTGCCTGTTGTTAACTAGTTTTGGTATCAGTGTCTATCATTCAAGGTTGAATCAGAGAAACAGAATTAGTAGGAGATACATTAAGAGATTTATTGCAAGGAATATGTGATTGTGGGAGCAGGTGAGGCAAGTCTGAAATCCAGATATTAATATAGACACTCAAGCTTTCTTATGATTGGTGTATATGTTATATATTTTCCCATAATTTTAACCTATTTATACCTTTATATTTAAAATACGTGTCTTATAAATAGAATAAAATTTGATCTTGCTTTCTTTATCCAGCCTGACAGTCCCCTTCAATTGAAGTATTTAGTCCACTTAAACTTAGCGTAACTTTTGAGATCTTTGTGTTTAAGTCTAATACCTTCCTATTTTTTTCTGTTGGTCCCATCTGATACCTCTCTCTCTCTTTGTTGCCCTTCCTGATTTCTTTTGATTACCTGAGTATTTCTTAGTATTCAGTTTTTCTTTTTTAATTGGCTTTTTAACTGAACCTCTTTATTTATTTATTTATAATGTATTAATTAAATACCCGATGTCTTCATTGGAAATAAGTTCCTCAAATCTCACATCGGCCATGAGATTCTCTGAGAAGGTGGCATGAGCTAAACTAGTACAGGAAGAGTCAGGGACCTCTAGGGGACTAACTGTAAGACGCTCTGCCACAATGCGTGAGAAGAAAGGAGGACTGATCAGAGAGCTGGAGGGAGAACCGGAGGAAAGCAGGGTGTTGGAAGTAAAGGCAGACAAGAGTCTCAAGACAGAGGTGGTTGGTGGTCAAGAGGTGACTTGAATAGACATTTCTCCAAGGACATACAAATGGCCCATATGCACATAAAAAGAGGCTCAACACCACTAACGATTAGACACATGCAAATCAAGATCACAATGAAGATACCACTTCACAGTAATTACAATGGCTATTATCCACCCCATGTCCCCCTCCAAAAAAACCCAGAGAATAAATATTGGCAAGGATGTGGAGAAATTCGAACTCTCACACGTTGCTGGTGGAAATGTAAAATGGTCCAACCACTGTGGAAGACTGTAGAGCAGTTTCCCCCAAAATTAAACACAAAATTGTGACATGATCCAACAACTCCACTTCTAGTTATAAACCCCAAAGAACTGAAAGCAGGGACTGGAACAGATATTTGTACACCAATGTTTACAGCAACATTATCCACAACAGCCAAAAGGTGGAAACAAGTCAAAAGGGCATTGTCGGATGACTGAACAAACAAAATGTGGTACACATACAAAGTAATGTTATTTAGCCTTAAAAAGGAATTCGATTCTGATACATGCTACAACATAGATGAACTCTGAAGACACTATGCTAAGTGAAATAAACCAGACACAAAAGGACAAGTATTATACCTAGAAGAGTCGAATCCATAGAGACAAAATGTAGAATAGTGGTTACCACAGCCTGGACGGAAGACAGATGGGGAACTGTTTAATGGATACAGAATTTCAGTTTGGGATGATGAAAAAGTTCTGGAGATGGATGGTAATGGTAATTACTCAAAAGTGTGAATGTACTTAATGCCACTGAACTATACACTTTAAAATGGTAAATGGTAAGTTTTATGTTACGTATATTTTACTACAATAATAAATAATAAGTACCGCATTCCTTCTTTTATAGAAAGAAACAGCACAGATACCAAGGAACTTGCTCAAAGTTGTACTGGGGGGGGGGGGGCCAGAACCAGAATTTGCACACAGAGCGAGTTCAAAGTCTACTGTCTGTTGACCTGAAACAAAAAGACTGCCAGATCTATTTCTCCAGCAAAGGTGGGTTTATCTGAGATCAGCAGAGGATGGCAATTTGGGGTCCGCAACCATGGTGAGCTACGGGGCAAGTCCCTGCACAGCAAGGGAATGAAAATGCTTTTATCAAGAGGAAGAGGGAGCTGGGAGGGCTAAAGTAAACAGAGTCCACGGCTTTTCATTGGCTGAGCCCTGGCCTGGGAAGAAGCGGAGTCTTCCTTCTTCCTGTTGGGTTCTGCTGTTCTCACAGGATGTGAGAGCTCCCCCTCTGGGCTCCCGACTCTTTTTCATTGAGGTTTCTGTTTATTAATTTTTGACAAGTCTTAATTATTCACTATATTGTCTCGTTCCAAGATATTTACTGTGGTAATGTTTATAACAGCAGAAAGGTACCTTTTGATATCTTTTCCTTGAAACTTTTTCTGTAAGAAATAGCTTGCCCTTTTGAGAATTCATCTCACACATCACCCCGTTAGCATTAAAGGCACTGAGGAATCTAAAAAAATCCCTCTCAGGCACTTTGCCAGTCGGTATTCTTCCTCAAAACCCAGAACCTTAGTCTAATCATGAGGAAACATCAGACAAACCCAAATTAAGGAACATTCTACAAAATATCTGGACAGCACTCTTCAGAACTGTCAAGGTCGTGATAAACAAGGAGAGACTGAGAAACTGTCAAAGACTGGAGAGACTATGGGGACGCGAAGACTAAGTGCCAGGTGGGATCCTGGGCTGGATCCTGGAACTGAAGAAGGACATTAATGGACAAACTGATGAAATCCAAATATGGCTGGAGTCTAATCGGCGGTACTGACCAATGTTAATTCCTTAGCTTTGACAAACCTACCACGATCATGAAAGATGCTAATATTAGTGGAAACCACATGGAGGAAATATAGGAATTCTGTATTGCAACTTGTCTTTAAAACTAGAATTATTACAAAATATAAAAGTTTATTTAAAAAGGAAATGTGTTTTTAAAATAAAGATAAATATTTGACTGTCTGGATTTCTTTTAGAAATACAGAGGAATCATTTTCTTGATAATAATAAAATTAAAAGTGAAAAAGTGAGGCTTTTGGAAAAGTGGAATGACTTCTTCAGGGTTGAGGCTACAAAACTAAAGCCACAGAGAATCACAAACATCACAGAGTCAAAACTGGTCCTTCTAATAAAGATTAAAATAAACATCAAGGGCTTCCCTGGTGGCACAGTGGTTGAGAGTCCGTCTGCCGGTGCAGGGGACACGGGTTCGTGTCCCGGTCCGGGAAGATCCCACATGCCGCGGAGTGGCTGGGCCCGTGAGCCATGGCTGCTGAGCCTGTGCGTCCGGAGCCTGTGCTCCGCAACGGGAGAGTCCACAACAGTGAGAGGCCCGCGTACCGCAAAAAAAAAAAAAAAAAAAAAAGGTACCTTTCTTGTGTATTCTTTGTTTTCTTATATGTTTTCAACCCAACCCTATTTGCTGACTGGATGTCTGAGTCTGTCCTCAACGTTTTAAAGCTGGCTCAGCAATGAAGGGTCTTGGCCTTTTCCTGCTCCTTCGGTACAAGCACCCCCTGTGGTGCTAGCTGCAGGGGGAGGGGCCGGAGTCTCCAAGGAGATGAATATAAGCCCCTGCTCTCAAGCTCACCTGTAGTTGGAGAGATGAGGTACTGCAGACTGAACCAACTTGGTTGCATGTTGGTCGGGTCCTTTTTGGTGGATGACGGTGGCTTCAGTGACCCAGGATGCATGGAAGGATGCAGGTGCCTCCTGCCAACCCCCACCCCACCCCCACCAGGTGGTGGGTTGCAATAAGAGCCATATTCCCAAACGTGAAGCAACTTCTGTCAGCAAGCAGGTAGAACCCCAACCAGTCTCTCCAGCGTAATTTTGGTGAAGTCCCTGCACTCTGTTCTTTCAGGCTCTCTAACAGACACCTTGCGTGAAAGCTTCACTAGAGGCAAATGCAACTGTATCCCGACAATAAATCAGCTCAATCCAATCAGATGGCAGGAGCCTCCAGGAAGTGGAAGACCCCAGCCAAGGGGGAGTGAGACCTCAGGCTCCCTCTCTTCTGCCCGGGACAGGACAGCAGTGCCTGTACAAGTCTTTGGATACTGACCATTCTAGAAGTGAAAAATTGCTTCCCCATCCCTTAGCCAAAGAGCAAGGCCTCTGGCGTAGACGGCAATAAGGATGTTGGAAGTTGCTGCAGCCCCTCTGGGTGGTGAACTTTTCATGTTTGATCACCACCCTAGATGAGTGAGTTCCTGACCAAGATACTCCAGATACTAACTAAAAGCTCTAGGCTGTGGATTAAAATTTATTGACACACAGATGTTATCCTGTTAGAGAAAATATAACATGGAAAAGGAAATAACTATAATATAATATGGCAGGAGAACCCTAATACCTAGGTGGATGATGACTGGGGGAGGCTCACGATGGGGGCTTAGAGAAGTTTCCAGAGAAGGCACTCTTCAGCAGAGCTCCAGAGGATAAGAGGCCACTGATCAGGGGCCGAGGGGAGACAGGGATTCCAGGTCGAGGGGGCAGCCGTGGAAGGACACAGAGGGAGGAATGGGGTCAGGGAGAGGCCGGGCATCAGGGAGCACAGAGGGCAGGGCTGGTGGAAACAGGGACCGGAAAGGTGAGGGAGTGCAAGTCTTGAAGGCGTTGGACACTAACCAATCTCAAGGCCTTGAACAACAAAGAGCTTTATTTGGGGGTCGTAAGAATTGCAATTCGGGAGACACAGATTCGGGTAAACCGAAGAGTCAGGGGTTTATAAAGGCAAAAGCCACGAGGCTGTTCTCCGACACAAGAAATGAGTATTTGTCATAAGGGACCGGGTAGGGGTCTGATAAGTAGATAGGCTATCATGAGTAGGGTAAGGGTCTGATAAGTATCTTGAGTTTCCGGCGGATGTTCTGGATGTCTTCGTTAGGACAAGCGGTCAAAAGTTCAGATTCCACCCCGGCTGAGACGTGCGTAAGCCTCACTTCCTCAGCGGCCACTGTAGAGAGCTCTCTTAGCAACACCAACTCCATTCTGATTTTCGTTTCACAAAGGTCACCCCAGAGAGACGAACGTGGATTTGGAAGCCATGAGATGTGCAGTAGAATTTAAAATGCATGCTCAGAGTTCTAGAAGATGTTATGGAAAAACCCGAACGAACATTTTGGCCATCCCAATATTTTAGAGTGATATCTCCGGCCGTCACATGGAAGGAAGGTGGGAAAAGGAACCGGAGTCAGGGTTAGACCAGTTAGAACTTGCAAAAGAGTAACGATAAAGTCGCCGCAGTGAGTACGTACACTGAGCCAGGCTCCGTTCTGAGCACTTTCTGTAAATTAAATCCTTTCATCTTCACCACCTTATAAGGATCATAAGGTTACCATCCCCATGTTAGAAATGAAGAAAGCGCGGCCCAGAGGAGGCTGCCAGATGAAATACGGATGCCCCATTACATGTGAATTTCAGATAAACAAGGAATGCTTTTTTAGTCTACGTACCTCCCATGCAATATTTTATTTGTTAAATCCGGCACCCCTGGGCCCTGAAAGGTGAAGGAAGTTGCTCAAGGTGGCATGGCCACCAAGTGGCACCGCCAGCACTGGAATCGGGTGGGCAGGTGCCAGCTGGCTAGGCTCCACCCGCCTCCGCTCAGCGGCCTGCTTCTGCCGCGCGGGCGCACCCAGGCGGGCTCCCTGCCCACGGACGGGATGGGCAGCGCAGAGGGCGAGCCGTGGTCAGGCCATTAATCAGCGGGCAGCCCTTGGTTTGCCCCTCCACTCATCCTGTTCTCAGAGAGCCTGTTTTCTTAGGATAGGTCTGCAAAGCTCCCCTAAGCCATCTTAATGATTAGAGCAAAATCCATGCCCTGTGACCAAGTAACTAAATCCCCCGCATCTCCAAAGCTTTCTCTGCCCTAAGGGATCTGAACATCTTTAAGGGTTTCCAGCTCCCAGCTCCCCTCTCCGATGAGCACTGTAATCAGGAACTTCTTCAGACCTGATCTGCACACAGTATGCATTTACTGCCCTACATACCTGTTGCTACTGGCCTGAGACATAAAACACAATTTAAACAGATACGCTTGAAAAGATTTAATAAGGCTTCACCTGAGGTGCAAAAGACAATTATACTTTCAACGTGGAATGCTTCAAATATTCAGCCAATGAATGCTAGGTGCTGGCAGTACAGTGAAGTCCAGGGCAGGATAAATACTCTTAGGAGATTACTACCCTTAAGGGTTTCACGAAAAAGATGGATATCTATGTTTAAAAAAGAAAGCAGACGCAGAACAATGCAAGGAATACTGTCAGAAGGGAATGTAGGGGAAGCTATGGGAATCTAGAGTGGGGAGCTCCTAATGTTGCTGGAAGAGGATGGGGTCATGAGGGCCCGGTACTCAGTGCGATCCTCGTGGACCAGAAGAATCAAACCCTGCACTCTGACAAGATCTAAGGACGACTCCTCTGCACATCAGGGTTTGAGAAGCATACCTTGGAGAACACCAGAGATGAAACATGAAATGAATCTGGAAGGATGAATGGTCTTCCAGGTGGGGTCCAGAGGGAGGGGACAGCATAAGTAAAGGTACAGAGCTGTGAAAAGAAATACGCTCGGGAAACAACACAAACTTTGGTCTACCGAGAGCTCAGTAGGACAACACATGGGAGTGATGGATGGGGAGATTGGAAAGGTTGGCAAAGACAGCCACAGAGGGGGCAGTATTGTAGGTGGCTTTTTTGCCATGGTGAAGGGTTTGATTTTTTAAATAAAACTTTTCAAGCACACAAAAAGTATAAAGTATAAAATAATGAGTGTAAAGTATGAATCAAACATTACAGCTACAGCCTCCTGTGTGTTCCCACCCTCCCTGACTCCGTTCTCCTCTCTCCTTCCTGGACCTTCTATTCTAAGTTCGGTGCTTACCATTCTCGTGTCTGTTTTTGTGATTTTTATACTGATGTTTCTGTCCATAAACAATACTGTTTTGCATGCGATGTTACTGTATGTATTTTACTACAACCTGATCTTCTGGCTCAGTGTTATGTGTTTTGAGATTTCTCTATGGTAACACAACAAGGCTCTAGTTAATTCATTTTCAGCTATGATATGTTACTTCTTTGGGGGAATATATCACTATTTATCTGTCCAGTCTTCTAATGATGGGTATTTCGTTTCCAGGTTAAACAATGCTTAAATGAGAGGAGTTTGTGGGTCTCCTTGAGCACATGCTTGGGTTTCTCAAGGGAACATCTCTAGGAATCTTCATCTTCACCAGACACCATCAGATTGTTCTCTAAAATGCTTGGACCCATTTACACTCCTCCCAGGAAAGTATGAAAGTTCCTGTTTCTCCACATCCTCTCCAACACTTGACACTGTCACATTTAAAAATTTTGGCTAATTTGATGACAGTGGGAAGGCCTCTCATTTTCATTTCTTCAATGACCAGTGAAGTAGGACGTGTCATTGTATATTTATGGGCTACTCAGGTTTCCTCTTCTGTGAACTGTCAGTTAATATCCATTGCCTGCTTACCTACTGGGTTGGTTGACTCTCACTGATGTGTAGAGTTATTAAGATATTCTAGGCTCTGCGGCTTTATCAGATATTTGTATTTACAAGTCCCCTCCAGCTCTGGTTGGCTTTATCATGTTGTTACGGAGACTTCTGTTGTATTCAAGTTTTTAAATTTTAATATAATCGAATGAATCTGTTTCCCCTTTTGTTTTGGGTGTATAGCTTGGACTTTATGCTGTTCCTTGATGTTACAAAGCTATCCTACTATACTTCTAAAAGTTTTAACGTCTTGCTTTCCACATTTGAGTCCAACTTTGTTTTCTCATGTTGACAGCTGTCCATGACCATTTATTGACTAGTCCATCCTCTCCCTCTGAGGTGTAGAGCCACTTGGTCACAGGTTAACCTCCTAGGGCAGCCGGGACTAAATGAAGAAACCATCTGGGTGGCCCCATCCGTCTTCTTCCAGATCCGC